CCTCTTATTATCTAATTAAAATAAAAAAAATGAATAAAAATATTGGAATATTAAGCCCTGTCAAGTATTTCCTAACACTTAAACCGGGCCTATTAGGTTTTTTTTTTTTTTTTTTTGAGGCCTACTGCTGTATGAATGACTGCATACTTTATCTAGAGCAGGTTGAAATCTAACATAACCATAATTTAGTCACTATGATTGCTCACGACTAAATCTGGTCGGCTTACAAATTCAGATAAGCACTTTTATTGAAACTTAAAAAATGCTAAATTTGAAAAAGAAAATACTATGCAATTTCACTCAAATCTGACTCATTCAGAATTTGAAAAATCTAGATTTACTTTCTCTAACAGATCTTGTACTTTTGCTTTTAGATCGTTAAGGTTGGTTGGAGCCAGATCTAACTCTTCTAGAGTAACCTCATCCGTCAAATCTCCCTCTTCACCTTCATGAACCACCTCAAATCTATCTATATTGATTCATTTTTTTTGTAAGATAGGTCGCTAATTTCCTTTTAATCTCATCCATGACCTCCTTCTTTTGGCAATTGATTTGCTGTCTCTTCATGAAATTTTTTCAATTTCTGACTCCTCCCTTGGCCTAAAAAGAACAATTGTTGTAGGTCAAAATAGTTCATCACAAACCTCCTTTACTTTTTTTTTTTTTTTTACAAGGGTAATGGTTAGGAAGTTAGTAGACTTAGATGTTAACAACTGAGACTTCCCAGAATAGTGAACATTCCACCCCTCAGATGAGGCGCGCGATCATTAAGTCGTAAGTTGGTGGAGTTCACAGCGGTGATAAAGTTCGAAGTCCTGACCTCCCGCCTCACCCAAGCCCTAAGGCTTGGGGGCCAACCACTGGGCCACATGCCCGGTTGGCAAACCTCCTTTACCATGCATATAGTGAGTACTGATCTGGTACTGACAGTTTTTTCAACTGATCTACTATTATAGTCCATCTCAAAGAAACGGATAGTCTCGATATCTATAATAAATTTTATATATACTGAACAATGAGAAAGGGAGAAGCAGGGGAAGAGTTAATTTATAGAAGGAGAATATCGCTCAAGATCCATTTTTTAAGGAAAATAATTGAATATATAGTGAACAGCTCAGCTAAATTCACATCTTATTTAATATATACAATCGAAAAACTGTGGTCGGAATAGTTTATATGACATCATTATGATTCCAAATTTAATACTAATTAAGATATTAAGTGTGTTAATCAACTGGTCTCTAAGATCTCGTACTAAATATTTTAATTGTTAAAAAAGAGAAACATCAGATCAGCAAATTCTCCCGTTATTTTATTAACAAATTAGAGGTTGAGAATCTATAATTTCAAGTACATTTAAGTGATTAAATCTGTTTTATATATTATAAATATATTGATTTTGTACTTTAATTAAAAAGGATAATGATACAAGGATAGATTTTTTTTACAAATTTTTATATAATATATATAATATTATAAATTTTTTAAAAATAAAAAAAATTAATTATTAAATAGCATAAAAAATTTTTTAAAAATGTTGCTGAATTTAGTCCAGGAATTATACTTTAGCACAAATTAATGAAATATATTTATCTTG